TACAAAGAAAACAGAGCCTGTCTCCACAAGGCACTCAGTGTAACCAACACCAAGCCGTAGAAAAACTAAACTGTAAAACCTTAGCTAGATAGCTAGTAAATAATGTTTAATCCTGGTTACTGTGACTGTGGAAGGGTATTTCATGGTATAAATTAGAATGTAACCACGGAGTAAATTATTTCTGTTTCACTGAGGCATAAGGGAAAGAGAGGGCAGGTCTCTCTGGTAACATTCAATCTAGACATTATTCACTTTCTCCTGAACTCCATACTGTCTATAAAACGCTTTGAACTTCAGCAAGAAGAGAGCAACATTCCCAGGAAACTTGACCAGGCATATCTGCACAGCATGCTCTTTTGAGGAATGCTGTTCCTCCAGCATTTGCATGCATCTGTGTGATGAGAAAGAAAAAAAATCACTAGATTTTTGTTAGAAAAATACAGTTGGTAGAGACTGTCTCCACTGTGCAATGTTAAGTCAGCAACTGTAGACAGGCTGAAAATTCCCTGCAGTCATCAGCCCTGACACAAGGGCTTCATGCCCTACACCAGCCATGTCGGTCTTCTTTCAGAGCTTGCCACAGAGCCTCAGCACATGCTGCTGCTTCTAACAGTGTAAAAGAAATCCTATGGTACCTCAGCTGGTACTGGCAGATGTCTCTAGCAAGGAAGAGATAAGGGCAATTCAATTTCATCCTTCTTCAAAAATATTTTACCTAGAGCAGATCCTATATTTGTGAGGCAGATAATATATTTAAGGCCACCTAGATTCCTCCTTTGAAAAGAAAGACCTGTGAAAATTCAAGCACTCAAGTATATTTACTTTAAGTAATTAACATCAAAAACAGAAGGATAGGCAGGGCCATAAAATGTGTGTTTGCTAACTAACTGTATTTCCCCATTGAGATAGTTATTGCTTGGACTTAGCCAGGGATAGATTTCAAATGTGGAAAATTAATGAAATGCATTACATTGAGAATTATCTGGAGATCTGGAGAAGAGCGATCGCAGGCCCAGTGAGTAATTTTTATTTCTCACTTATAATAAGAATGGAATCTGCTTATCTCAAAGTTAGTTTGACTGGCTGCTACTAAGTACCCCATCCTCCACCCCCAGCCACCATAAACGATACTTTGTCCTATATGGCAGGACTCTGGGATGAAGTTCAAGGCCTTTCACTGCTTATCTAAGAGTTCTACAAGTTGGGAGAGAGATGGAGTCAACATTGTATGGAAACAGAAGAGCCCCTAGAAAGAGGATGCTCTTGTGCTGTGGATGGAACTGGTACCTGGAAACTGCCACACCATCCTGATGGTCGGCTGAAAACAGTTTCCCCCAAATCGGCATCTTTCCTTACAAGACACTCTGAACTTGCATTTCTACCCCCTCTCTTTATATGTCTGGATGACTACAAGAGTTCTCCTGCCTCCAGTTCCTCCCAGCCACTGCCTTGAGACAACTTCTCCACCTCGCTTTCACCATGTCAGCCTCTAAAACATCATTCAAGAAACAAAAGTGCAGACTCCTTGCTCAGGCCTTGAGACTCAGCATAACACAGCCCCACCTCATCCCCCGCTGCTCCTCGGCTGGCACCAAACTGGTCTATGCATGGTCACCCAGGCCTAGCCTGCCCTTTGCTCATGCCACATTCTCTACCTGGAATACCTTTCCCACTTCTGACTGATTATTTATAGTAGGTGCTAAGTAAACATTTTTTCTGAGTGAATGAATTCAAGACCTACCTATTTTCAAGATTCAGCTCAAATTTTAGATTATATGCAAATTTTTCCATCACCACCACAGTCTGAAGATATCACTCCATCTATCAAACTTCAAGTATTATTTATATATTCGACAAGTTATACTTAATACCTACTATGGGGCAGGTATCAGGGCTTGACCCAGATTAGACATTGTCCTGCTCCTGAAGAACCCAGAGTCCAGTGGGAAGAGTTACAAAATATAACTACCAAACAACGGTATGGGTGCTGGAATATTTAAATAAAAATGTGTTCTTATTTCTACACACATTTATTGAGCTCCTACTATGCTCCAGGTACGAGCCTAGTTACTTTTTGTAAGTTCTGATTCAATCCTAGTGGTCCATTTTGCAAGGAAAGGAAAAAAAAGACTACAAAAAGTTACGTTGGCTTCCCATGGCTATTTGAATAAGCAGAGCCTGGATTCAAGCCTAGTTGGGTCTGGGCCCCTTCCACTATCCACCCTGCCTCCCGGCTGTGGGCAGTCTAACGTGCTCCACGTATGTTCATGAAGTGGTGAATGGTTCAGAAAGACCAAAGCGAATGTATATGCTGAGAGAAGACGTAGGTCAGCTTCCACTGTGAACCACCTTCGCCTCAGTCCTGTAGATTACAGAGGAGCTTCAGTGTTTATGTCGTGTGTCTCCATCAAGATAAGCTCTCTTAAAAGCAGGCACCACAGCCCCTCTCTGTATTCTCACACCACCAAGTATTCACTCCGTACAGCTAGTGAAAAGCCCATGGGCTTTTCTGGGTCATTTAGTTTCATGTTCCCAATCGGTCCTCATGGTTCCACCAAGCTTCGTGAATATGGGGTATCTGTGCCTCTAACCATGCTTGGAGCCTCAGAAGCTGGTGGCCATCTCAGAAAAAGAGCAAACCTTCCACAGCTGCCATCAAGGGTAGGGGCCATCTTTTCTGTTTACCAAAACTCCTTGCCACTGCTTGGTTCCTTCATTCCCTGGGGTCATGCACATCACAAAGCTGTCTGAAAAGCACTGTAATAGTAGCACTTAAGATGTGCTAGGCACTGAGTGCATTCTCCCATTTAACCCTCAGAACATAGGAACTAAGTTCTATTATGCCCATTTGACAGAGGAGGAAATAGAGGCTTAGAAAGTAAGTTTGGTCTAGAATGTAAGTTTCCAATTCCAATGCCATGCTTCTAGCCACTTAGTCATGATACCCACCAGGCAAAGAGATGAAAGAAATCTGGGCAGTCCCTCATAAAGGACCAAGGGAAGGAGTTGCTGGGATCTCGAGGAAAACATGTCTAGCTCTGGCTTGCTACTCTTATAAAATTCCTACACAACAGATGTGAGAGTCACGTAACCAAGATGTGGCCAAAGAAGCCCATTCCCACACGATCAGGCTCTGGACTTGAGACAGCCCGAGAAGCTGAGAGTTCTTCAGCCTCCTTCTCCTGTATCAAAACAATCTGCATCTATTCTTCCAGCTCCTTCCTTGCGACACTAACTTCCATTTATCCAAAATATTTAAGCATCTGTTCTGTGCCAGGTACTGTTCTAAGAGCTGGGAATATAGCAGGTTACACAAAGAACATGATCCCTTCTCTCTGGAAGTTTAATATCTGGCAAAGGTGACAATAAAAAGTAAACGAGATGATTTCTGATGATAAAGGCTATGAATGCTTGAGATAGTGGTGGGATGGGGGGAGGCTGACGGGGAAAGTCCTTTCTGCGGATACAACATTTGAAGTCACACTCACAGGAGAAGGTGCCAACCTTCAAAGCTCCAGGATCTGCCTTATACGTGGTGGGCTGTAAAGGACATTAGCAATCATCTAGTCTCGACTCCTCATTTGTAACTGAGAAAATACAGGCTCGGTTAGATTAAAAGACTGAGACAAGGTCTCGCAACTAACTGCAAGGACGTTTCTTCCCACTATCCTGCATTGCCTTTGGATACACACATTTGAAATCTAAGCATCTTACATTTGTGCTTTTAATCCCCTCAAATATTTTCATACTTATAATTTTAGTTTCAGGACAACTTTGGGGAAAAGATGAGAAGCCTTGTTTGATAGATAAAATTGAGGCTCCAATTGGCCAAGTGACTTGTCTAATGGCCTGTCACTAACAACTGAGTCAAAACCCTGGTTATTTGTATTCCAGTCCTATGTTCTTTCCCCTAGATGAGAAGTAACCATAAGCAAGTGGTCTGTGAAAGTAAGACATCATTACTAACAACTTCATGTTTTGTGGTGCAGAGAACATGCAAAAGTCAAAGATATGAACAATTTACTTAGTCATAGCACACAAACCCAAAGACCCTGAGTTTCTTGCTACAGGAAAGAACGTGTGACTCCAGGTGTCTAAACAACCATGGCCTGAGGCAGTCAACCCCGAATGACTACTGGATACAGGACTGAGAAGGACTGAAAGCCTCGTTGCTGCCACACTGCAGGGATGTCAGGAAGGAAGGAACACGCTCCTCTGTGGATCCAGCCCAGACTAGGAGTCCTCATAGCTAGTGAGCCCCTAGGTGAAAGTCATATTTAAGCTCCATGACTCTTCTGCTTAGGAAATAAGCTACTAGTGATTCCCAAACCTGCCTGCACATCACAATCATCTGGGAGAGCTTTAAAATAATAAAGATTTTTCAGATTCACACAAGATCCAGGGACTTAGAATCTCCAAAGGGTAGAGCCTGGGAAATTTGTTTTAAAATTCAGCCAGCCTAGAAATCCACTGGTTTTCCTCATTTCTTAGTGTTACAATGTGACGTAAAGAGGAGAGGCGCCTGTTTTTATTATCCAGCAGTAAAGTTTAATTAGGTTGTATCCTTTAAGGGCTCCTGCTGCTTACAGAAGAAAGTCTTCTCTAATACCCAAAGCCCTTGCATAACAGGAAAGTCTTGGGAGTATCTTCCTGGCGACCTGTGAAGTCTGTTGTCTCACTCCTTTGGCTGCACGTCAAGCCCCCATACAACTGGGAAAGCTTTTTCTGAGATCAGTTTACCTTTATGAAGCAGATCCTAACCTGCAAGGGTCAGGGGCACCTCCAGCAGGAAAAATCTGAGTGTGGACAATCCCTCCACCCTCTGCACCCCTCCCCACCAACCACCACCAAATGTGCCTGGCTCCTCCCCCAGGGGCCTGTTTTGTGCCCTGCACTGCCAGCTACTTTATCGGAAAAAGAAAAAGGGAAAAGGAAAAGAAATTAGTTTAGGCCCTGGTGGCCAGTGCCCCCAGTCAGGCGGACACAGAGTCAGTTCTTACCTGTATCTGGAAGGCAGAGGAGCTGCTCTGTTCACTTGGGAATTCTGTCTCTGCTGGTGAGCGCTAGTCTTGGAACTCACTGGACTTTGAACAAAGATTGATTTAAAAGCTGATGTATTTAACAGAGATGTGTGGTCTGAGTTCAACTGACCTCTGTCCTGCTTCCTGCCAGCTGTCTGGACCCTGAGCTGGAAAACCTGGAAAACCTGAAAAACCCTCAGCAGACCCAACACTCTGGCCCACCTGCCTGAACTATGCAGGGATGTGGCTTCCTGCCTGCTGCTCCCAGAGAATGAGGAGGGGAGAGGAGAAGAGGGGGAGGGGGAGAGAGGGGGA